GGGGACTATGTTGCTTTGAAAAACGACGTTTAGTAAATATGAATGCTCAATTACACTTAAGGTGGAATACACACAAAGTACAATAAGTCAAGTCTCTTTCTTTTATGAACTCCACAATGACAAATGACAAAGTTATCTCAGGGGGCTTCACAATCTGTACAGGAAGCTTTGTCTCAACCTTTACAGCCTCAAAAAGCAACAGGGAAAATTACTTTGAACGGAGGCTGAAAAAACTACAGGACGAGCAACGTGTTAGGGATCCCTCAGGACAAGCACTCAAGGTTACTGTCTGTACTTTTGTAGTTTAATATTGCAACCGTGTCTTCCTTTTTATTTGTTGGTGATATTTAAACTTCAGAATTTTTTGCGGATGATAATTTTGTCTATGTGTCGCTGTCTGTGGTGCTGAACGCAACTCAAAAGGCTCACTGGAACAGTTCAGTCGTGAAATATAATTATTATTAAACAAACCATCTTGTTTACTCTTTGACATTTTTTATTTTTGCACTTGTTCCATRTATAAGGAGATCTGAGGACGTTTACTTATTCACAGTGTTGTGAGATTTGATCTATGTGCAGTTTAGAAAAATGTCCACATGGAGACACTGTAGACCATCACATTTAGACATGCTCTTTAATGTTTTAGGGCTCCGCCCAAATTCAGCGGTTGATGTGGGCTTTGTTACAAAGAGAGGTCGGACGACAAAGAACGGTTGTGTCTTCTGGTCGAGAAAATGTTGACATATTTGTTTGGATTATTTCTTCGCTGGTCGTGATATCGTAGTTTCTGGAACGTATTATTCAGATTYGCYTGCATGCKCCTTCTCGACSTGAGGAATTATGMATTTACCGAGCARAACGGGCTCTRTGTGGATATATCTGCTCTTCGTGCTGCTGGATTGTTACTGGGAGCCGGTTTCCGGACAGCTCTCTTACTCCGTCTCAGAGGAGGTAAATGTGGGGACTGTYGTCGGGAATATCGCGAAAGATCTGAACATCAACGTCCAGGATTTGGAGTCYCGCATGTTTCAGATCGTTTCGGGATCAAAGAGAAAATATTTCGAGGTAAATCTAAAGACTGGTGTCCTCTACGTTAATGAGAGAATAGATCGAGAGGAACTCTGCGGCGACGAAGCTAAATGTTCACTCAGTGTAGAAGC